GACTGGGAGACAGTCTGGTGATAGGCAGCTCGTCCACCAATATAATGCTCCGTGAGGATAATATCGATGTCTAGTCGTGTGCGTGCTTACTTGGAAGAGGCTGGCCGTCGATGATGCGATGGCGCCAGACGTCTGCGTCAGAAGGCCAGTGGAAGCCATGGAAGACGGCCCTGTCCTGTCCAGTCACAGTCACCAGTGGCATCAGCTCGCAGGCGACGGGCGACCAGCATCCAGCATCCAGCATCCAGCGCTGCTGCTGTCGACCACCAGGCAAGGCCAACTCCAGCATGTGCCCGGGGAACGCCGCACGACGCCTCTTTGCTCTCTAACTGCCAACTGATCACTAACAGCAACAGCTGCTACTGCTAACAGTCACTAACTCCTCCAGTTTCCACTCTCCCAACGCCTACCAAACCCTCGGGCGTCTCGCCGCGAACGGGTAAAAATAGACGACTCTCGCATGCCCGATGCGGTGCTCCCTGCTTACTCCACCACCACTAAGCATAACCATTACACTACTGCTGCTACTGTGTACTACGACTCCCTGCTTACTTTCCACTGCACCCTCACTGGGTAGCACCAGGACCAGCGTCATGTAACCTGTCAGCCAGCCCTCCATCATGCCTGCTGCATCCTTCACACTCACTCACACCACTCACTCATATATATAAATATACTGCTCGGTCATCCGCGGTCTTTTCCAACCAACATCTACGGAGTATTTACTCTTTATCTCTTATCCACTTTTTTTATCGCATTCTACCACTTTTTTTCTCTCTTATCTTCCCCATCTATTGCCGCAACTCAACCCTTCCAACAATAACCAATTACCGCTGGGTGGTGACATCTTCTCGTCCAGCCTAGCCCGCCGTCTCCTCAATTCTCCATCCAACTTCCGCCAGCCAGAAGCCCTAGCCTAGCCTAGCTCCTGCAATAATCCCAAGATAGCCAGAGTTTTTCGGTCTCTCGTTCGTTCTACTAATTTAAGCGGTATTAAACTTACCATTAATGCATGGAATATATCAATTTCCACTTTCCCACCAACAGGGATGCAGAACATGCGATGACTCTGGAGCAGATTAAGCTATTTTTGGCTCTTATTGGCGGACAAACTTAAGGCGACCCAGAAAAAAACTTAGCGGAAAAAAAGCAATGGTTTGCAACATCCATACTCTTACATACAAACAACCCCTGTTTTGCTTTTTTATTTGTCTTTCGGGATGTCCATGGAGATTTTTTGTGGCTGCAGATGGAGAACTTCGAAAAGCCATTTTGCTTATTTTGCTTTCTGTTTTCGGGGTGGGTGGAGATTGGGGTGCTTAGGTAAGCGGCCAGGCGTTTTTGCGGAGATGGGAGAATAAATGTGCCGGTAAGAGACATACAAAGATACATGTGTTTTATTGGATAGACGAGGTAAGTTTGGTTATAGCAGGTATCGTGATGAGTAAGCGAATTCATCCCCTCAACTTTACCTAGTTAGGTATTTTACTGCTTAGTAAGGTTAACACAGTCACGGGTGCTATATCTTTTGCAATAACTATCAGGTGACTGATTACTCACCTAATCTCGCAACGGACGGAGCCTTCCCGCATTTTTTGACAGCCCGGCCGTTTTGTTTCTTCCCTGCTGCCTCCTGCATGTTCCGTGTAACCAGCTGCATATTCACTACCTAAGTGCCTCCTCTTATGGATATCCCGTCGAGCTAGGAAGACTCCTCTCTCAGCTTACCATAACCCTCCAGTCAGCAACACAAACACAATTCTCTCCCTTTTGTCTCCTGCTGAATTTTCTCTGGTTCAGGTCACTGTCAACTAACACCTGTACCTGGAGACTCATCCTCCGAGACACTATAAGTCGTTGGTTATCGTCATGCCACGCCATGCCACGCCGTGCCACGCCATGCGGAAACGAACCTGTCATCCCCGGCCGTGCACACCTCGGCGAATAAAGGAACACTGTAGAGTTACTCAAGCGAGTCCAGCAGGTGGATGCCTCCCGTTCTCGCGGGTCAGGTTAAAAAAGAGGCTGCTGTTGCTCCGGCTTTGCCCGGCTCTGATTTTCCCCGGCCGAGTAGTTACATACATGACATGATATCTCCTTTCTTGTACGACGCGCAAAACCAGCAAAGATGGTCAACTAAACGCCCAGTTATGGCAGCGCCGCACAGCCAGGCACTAGCTACTGTCTCTTTCTCTCGCGCTCTTTTACCACTGAACAAAGCAGAGAAAGCTCCGTCGTCTGTAAAGAAGATGTTATCAATCTCGCTTCGCCTCTTGGGCTGACCCCACCTTCTTGCCGAAACAGGAATGGCTTCAAACCTAGCCGCGATCAGATTAGACAAGACAAGAGATTATCAATCTGATAACGAGCATGCGCGAGAAAAATTTTCCTTGCTTCAAAGCCTATTTCGCCTCTTGCGGCTGTATCATTGGCTGGAACTCGTGGAAGAGGACGGAACTGCTCGCGCCAAAGCTGGCTGATCTCAACTGATTGATTAGATGAGGACCCTTGCAGTGGGCGCAAGAGGCCGTCCGGGTAGTTAGTTATGTCACTGCTGGGGCTATTATTTAAAAGACCCAGTTGCTCCCACTCCCCTTCTCGCCGTTGAACGACCCTGGTCTTTTTACTTCTTTTCGACTTCTACATCTTTTACTTCTTGTGCCTGGTTTGTTCAATTGAGTCGCGTGAGCTAGGGCTGAGTTGAAGACATGGCCGTAGAAGTCGAGGAGAAGATTGCCGCGCCTGCTGATGCACCGCCGGATTACAGGACGCAGCAGAGTAACGGCCATGTGCCCGCTGCGGATGGACAGCCGGTGATACTCGGCAAGAAGAGTCCTGGCGTGCTGCGTGTCGAGGTTATTTCCTCGCATATGACGCTGGTGGATCGCATTATTCTCTTCATCGGCATCTTCCTGCTTGCTTATGCTTATGGTCTTGATGGAACGCTGCGGTTTACCTTCCAGGTCAGTCTCACCTCGACGACGTCTATCTAGCACTTCACGATAATGCTAAGTAATTCATGAGTACAGACATATGCGACTGCATCGTATAGTTCGCACAGTCTGCTGGCTACCGTCAATGTCCTGCGTGCTGTCATTGCGGCTGCTGCTCAGCCCACCGCCGCTAAAATGGCGGATGTCTTTGGCAGAGCGGAAGTCATCTTGTTCACCATTGTCTTCTACGCGATCGGTACGGTGACATCGGCACTACATATTAACTATAACACACTAACGTGCTGCTGCAGGAACCATTGTGGAGGCTACTTCCGACGGCGTCAAGGCGTTCTGTGCCGGCGCAGTGCTGTACCAAGTGAGTTTATAGCTTTCCTTTTCCATACGTCCGTCTACTAACACCGTGTAGATCGGCTACACTTCAATCTTGCTCCTGGTCGAAGTCCTCATCGCGGACGTGACCTCGCTCCAAACCCGTCTGTTCTTCTCCTACATCCCAGCGACGCCTTTCCTCGTAAGTCTTCACCTTTCTACCCAACTCCAAGACCCATATTAACTCCCCCTCTAGATCAACACTTGGGTCAGTGGAGACATTACCAACGCCGTCATCACTCACTCAACATGGCAATGGGGTATCGGCATGTGGGCAATCATATACCCCGTCAGCGCCATACCCGCCATCACAATCCTGTACATAGTCCAGCGCCGCGCAAAGAAAGCCGGTGCCCTAGACAGCTACAAGACCCCCTTCCAGATCTACGGCGGCAAGAAGATCGTCACCGCCATGTTCTGGCAACTTGACATCGTCGGAGTCATTCTGCTACTCGGCGTGTTCGCCTTGATTCTCGTCCCCTTCACCATCGCCGGTGGTGTCGAGACGCAATGGAAGACCGCAAAGGTCATCGCGCCGCTCGTCATTGGCGTTTTGCTTATCCCCGTCTGGCTTTACTGGGAATCAACCTGCTTGCATCCCATGGTTCCTTTCAGAGTACGTCTATCCAATATCTTGAAGTTGAGCCGAAGTTAAACCCGGCCTGCTAACTTGTTTGTTTATAGCTGCTTAAAGACCGTGGTGTATGGGGCGCACTTGGAATCGCCATTATGCTTAACACTGCGTGGTACATGCAGGGAGACTTCCTTTATACCGTGCTCGTGGTTGCATTCAACGAGTCCATCAAGAGCGCTACCCGCATCACCTCCATTTACAGCTTTGCTTCCGTCCTCACGGGTGTCGCCATGGGTGTCTTCGTTTACTTCTTCCGACGACTCAAGCTTATCATCGTTGCTGGAACGGTGCTGTTCATGGTTGCTTTTGGCCTGTTGATCTACTACCGTGGTGGATCAGGCTATTCCAGCCATGCAGGTGTCATCGGTGCGCAAGTCTTGCTTGGAATCGGTAAGTATTCCCAACCCATTATGTACTGTACATCAGCTAACGCCTGCCTAGCCGGCGGTATGTTCCCGTACCCGGCCCAAACATCCATTCAGGCCGCTACCAAGCACGAACGTGAGTCATGCACTCAATTGGTATCAGCTATACCAATTCATCAACTAACATGTCGCAGACGTCGCCGTCATCACTGGTCTGTTCCTGGCCTCGTATAGCATCGGCTCAGCCCTAGGAAACACCATCTCGGGCTCGATATGGAACCAGGTTCTCCCCCAGGCTTTGAAGCAGCGTATAACCAACCAGACCCTCGCGGCGGAGATATACAGTGACCCATTCCCCTTTGCCACCGCCAACCCCATCGGCACTCCTGACCGAGACCATGCCGTCGAAGCATACAAGCATGTCCAGCGCCTCCTGTGTATTGCCGGAATATGTCTCTCGGTGCTACTAATTGCGTTCTCTCTCGTGCTGCGTGATCCCGTGCTTGGAAAAGAGCAGAGTCTTGCGTTTGCAGACAAGGATTCGTCTGATGATGAGAGCTCGGGTGCCGATGCTGCTGTTAAGGTGTAGACGGCCGGTATCTACAATTTAGATCTGTGCTATCATATCATATATGGATGGAAACTAAAAAAGGATATTCTTATTTGTTTGGATGATACCGCATGTTTATCTAATTAATACACTTTGTTTAATATATTTTCCGTCTCGTCGTTTAATTTTCCTTACCACCAACCAATGGCTTGCCTTGCTTGGTTACATGCCTTGCTTGGTTACACGGTTGGTTGTCAGTCTAGCGAGATGCCACGTCTTCTGTTATTTCATGAATGGGAATTCCGCTACACCGCTAGATGAGGCTACCTGGGGTATATCAGCTGTAATTTAGTTGGCTGGCAAGCGATCTTACCTTGTCCTGGTACCTCGTTAAATTCGCGAGATATACTCTACCAAGAACCCAGCATGAACTCGCAGACCCGTGGCTATATCTCCATGATACAATATCGACACTCCAAATCAAGTACCATGTTGTAGATGCAAGTTACAGGTGACGATGTTTTAGAGTGGTCCGACAACCTTAATGCGAAAAGTGGGTCCGAAGCCTCGCCTGCGCCAACTATTTAAAGCGTCGAAGTTTCGCATCCGCAGACAAACATCATAACTAGCTAACAACACCAACACCGACCGGTAACAGTGATTATATATCCCTATTCTTACCAGGTGGAGATAATACCCCAGTACTATAACATACCATGTGCATAGCTCTGATCTCGACCGCTCATCCGGGCTATCGTCTGATCCTCATTAACAACAGAGATGTACATTCCCCGTATCCACCCAACTTCATATCAAAAGAATCCAACTAACATGTCGCCAGGAATACCTCCGACGGCCAACATCAGCCGCAGACTGGTGGGCAGAACCAAACTCCCATGTCTTAGGCTCGCGGGACCTCGCCAGAGAAGTCCACGGGACATGGATGGGAGTGACCAAACAAGGCCGTCTGGCCGTCCTTACAAACTACAGAGAAAATACCCCCGAGACCGTCGTTGGTCTCCGAAGCAGAGGATCTATCATCAACGGCTTCCTTGTGCTGCCGCCAGATAGCCCCATGACGGCCCAGCAGTACATCGAGGAGCTTGTTGCCGGGGGCGAGGGACAGGCAGCTGGCGGATTCAGTCTTGCATGTGGCGATGTAATGGGGCCGTTGGGTATAGTATCCAACCGTGCTTCGGCCGGGGATGAAATACCCTGGATAGCTACGGGGCGGAACCAGACCGTTGGGCTAAGCAATACGGCGTTTGGGGATCGGTCGTGGCCGAAGATTCTGGAGGGCGAGAGGCTGGTAAAGGAAGCGCTGCAGAAGAGCTATGCAAAGCAGGAAAGTGAGTCGGAGCTTATTGAGCGGTTACTGGGCGTGTTGAGCACGGATACGCTGCCGAGGTTACATGATCGTGCCACGTTGGAGGAATATATACCGTTTTTAAGTGAGAGTATCTTCATACCTGCTGTTGGAGATCCGGATGAGGGAGTGGATGCTGTTGTATCGCATGGTGCGGAGGCGCATACGCTGTACCTGAAGGGGATGTACGGGACGCAGAAGCAGACTGTTATTCTGGTTGAGGAGTCTGGGCGGGTGAAGTTTTTTGAACGCACGCTTTATGGGGATGACGCGAGGGAGATTCCGGTTGGGGAGGGAGATAGAGAGTTTGAGTTTGTGGTTGAACGGTAGGGTTACTTCGCTTTTTGTTGGTGTCTGGGCTGTGTTAATACTGATTTCTATCTAGAGCCGTAGAGCCAGAGACACAGGCAAAGGCCCATCTATAGACTGGCTTGGCTTTATTGGTATAGCTGTATATGAACCTGCATGGCTCTAGGCGTTTTGAGCGTTATTCGGTATATATATACGGAGTTTCTATCAATGATTTTTCTCCTAATGCTATCCAAGCATTACATCTTTCTCTTCAACAGCCCCTTGAAGAAATCAAAGCTGTTACTATCACTTTGCAACTGCCAGACCTTCCCCGTCGGCCGGTCCTCCCATCCCAATTCCTCAGCAATCAAAAGGCCATAATCCCTCGTGATACCCTTGATCTTCGCACGCACTCCGCCCTCAGCCTCTAATATGACGATCTGGTCCATATGAAGCCAGTTGGAGTAATACATGTCTTCAAACTCCTTGTCGAAGCCAGTGCGGAGGAAGCGGGCATACAACTCTTCAAAGGCGGTAAGGATACGGGCTAGGAGTTTTTCCAGAGATGGAGGTTCTGGGTTTGATGTCGTTTTGAAGGTTTGTAGGAGGGCGTTTAGGGATGTTGTGGGGGCTGGGTTTAGAGCGTTGAGGCCTGCGCCTACCACAGCGATGTACTCGCTTGATGAATAGTGGGCATTGACTAGAATGCCGCCTATTTTGGTGTATGTTTTGCAGGTTGGATCGGATGGATCCAGGGCGTCTGTAAATGCAGATTAGCAGGGTATATGCTAAAAATGATTGATTGTTTAATGACGTACATATATCGTTTGGCCATTTTAATTTTATTGGCAAGGTGTCGTAACCCTTATCGTAGGACTTGACGCCCTGGACAATGGCCATGGCGACGAGATACTGGATGAAGACTACAGGCGCAGACATGAGCTTGTCGACTGGGTGGTGAACGCAGACGGAGAACATGAGCTGGCCTGGCGGAGAAACCCAGACGTTTGAACCACGGCCTCGACCGGCAACCTGGACGGTGGCTGTAGCCGTGGTGCCGTTGGGTAGTCTTCGTAGTAG